GCCTAACACCAGAAAGAGTAGCTGTGTTTTAGCCAGAAAGTTACTATTAAATGATAGAACATACAAAATCTGAAAGAACAGCTTAATACAATAAGTTTATTTCTCTATGTGGACTGGTAGACAATCTGGGCTAACAGGTGACACAGAGATCCAGGCTGCTTGCTTCTTGTAGGTCCACTGTACAAACACATGCTTTCTGTATTACTGATGAATGTAAGAAAAATACATGGAAAGTGGCAAACTAATATCAGATGCTTTGGCCTGGAAATTACAAATATGGCCTCTGCTCACAGATCAACGACGAAGGTTAGTCACATGATCCTTTCCACTATAAGTGAACTGGGTAGGGCGCCTGGGTGGCTCAGTCGGTTAAGAGTCTGCCTTCGGGAAAAATGAAGTAGGGGGAATCGGAGGGGGAGATGAACCATGACAGACTATGGACTCTGAGAAACAAACTGAGGGTTTTAGAGGGGAGGGGGGTGGGGGGATGGGTTAGACCGATGATGGGTATTAAGGAGGGCATGTACTGCATGGAGCACTGGGTGTTATACGCAAACAATGAATCATGGAACACTACACATCAAAAACTAATGATGTAATGTATGGTGCCTAACATAATAAGATAAAATTAATAAAAAAATAAAAATAAAAATAATAAAAATTAAAAAAAAAAGATAGCGGTTACCTGCTCAGGAGAGTAAGCGAATGGGATCAGAAAGGCACATCAAGTATCGGCGGTTTGGGTAGCGTTACAAGTTCTCAAAACGGATGTGGGTTGTTTATTTTATTTATTTATTATTTATTTATTTATTATTTTTTTTATTTTTAAAGATTTTTTTTATTTATTTATTTGAGAGAGAGAGAATGAGAGACAGAGAGCAGGAGAGGGAGGAGGGTCAGAGGGAGCAGACTCCCCGCTGAGCAGGGAGCCTGATGTGGGACTCGATCCCGGGACTCCAGGATCATGACCTGAGCCGAAGGCAGTCGCTTAACCAACTGAGCCACCCAGGCGCCCTGGGTTGTTTATTTTAATAACATCCTTCATAAATTAAAAATAAAATATATTACACATAAAAAAAGAGTCTGCCTTCGGCTCAGGTCATGATCCAGGGGTCCTGGGACTGAGCCCCGCATCGGGCTCCTTGCTCAGTGGAGAGCCTGCTTCTCCCTCTCCCTCTGCTGCTCCCCCTGCTTATGCTCTCTCTCTTTCTGTCAAATAAATAAATAAAATCTTAAAAAAAAAAAAGTGCACTGGGTATTACAGTGGTCCTATGAGCCCAGGAAGGAGAGGAAGGTATAGATGAGCATTTGCAGGCTCCCCCATAAATTGTTGCATAGTAGATGCTCAATAGGATGCAACCAGTAGAATTTTTATGACAGAATTTTTATGACAACCCTTTTTATTTCCTGGTAGATTTGAGGAGGCCAAATTTCCTTGCAATTCTCCCAACTCTTTTGAGATCCTACTACATGTCAATTGCTTCCAAACACAGGCTTACGTCAAATTTTCAAAAGGATCTTGTAATGTATCAGCAGAAATATTTTACCTTCTTCACTCAGTAGTACCCTTCTGCACCGATTGACTGGTTGCACTGCACTTATTGTACTGATGCAATAACCTCTAAACTCGTAATAGGGTGAGAATTCTCTTCTTCCTGTTGATGCCCCTTCAAAACTGGTGAATTTCTGCCACCTTCAAGATGACTGAACATGCCTTGAATACTTATACAGGTGCCATCAGGCACAAGGGAAAACCAAGATTTTCTCCTCAGTCAAGTAGTTAGACAAGAGTCACTAGGAAAACACTTGGTTTGTTTATTTTGGGGGGCTTTTTTTGACACTGGGTTATTTTTATCTTTGCTAACCAAAGATAGCATGTCTGTCAAACAATGTTTCACCTCCCGGAAGGATTCCAGTACTTTTAGGAAATTAATCCTCAGTAAATGCTTGCTATGCACTAGTTTCTGTGATCTTTGAATCTCTCCTCAACTACCAGTTATGTGGGAGATTTGGTTATTAACCACATAGGTAAACTCACAGTTCTATGACTCCATTGGCCAGTGTGAAAATAAAGCTCATTAAAATTCTATTGCAAATATCATGGTGGTCTCAAAACTCCTTCTCCAACTTCAGGATTCTGTCCCCAAATTAGTAGATTCTATGATAAACATGACTATTCACCTCCTCTTTGTGAAAACATTTTGAGACTGTGGTAGAGATGCCCAAATGGGTGGCCAGATTTAAATTTCAATGTCAAAATTACCTTTTATAGAGAACAGGATGTTGTTATCACAGGGGTAATATGGTGAAGAACGGGACCACCAGGAAGTTGAAATGTTCTAAATCAAGGAGATTGCAGGTGATTTTTGACCTGTTTGTTCCACTGGGAGCAAGGTGCAGCTTTCAGAATTGGTGTTAAAGAGCTGACCAGCAGGTGAGGTTCCAGTTTGGACAAGAGGGCACACTGGAGAAGACCCAGGGGAAGGTCACTGTATTGCAGACAGCTGGAGCTGAATAAAAACGCCAGCCCCGAGACAGTCATCAATTAAAGAACCTTGAGGAGAGGGTAGAAAACCCTGGATAAATGAAGCCCACGGCATTCCCCAAATTGTGTTTCTTATTTCAATTTTCCTTCTTTAAACCTGCTTTCAGTTCCTGTTACAACCTTCTTTCTATATTGTGAAAGGAATTAAGGAGTAGTGAGAAGAAAAATAAATGAAGAGATTGAAGGTCTGACTCAAGCTGGGAAGAATGGAACAGAGTAGGCTCTAGATGAATTCCAAGAAGAGGTCTGATGTCATCTCTTTCCCATACTAGACATGTGAGATGCGGTATAATGACAAGCTCTTTGAGCTTGAGGATAGTCATTTGTGAATTTGGTTTGATAAGTCATGCCTTCTAGGACTCTCGGAATATGTATGGAGTATATAAAGCACATGGCACAGTGCCTGGCATATCTTAGAACTTGAATGAATCAGTTATTGCTGTCATTATGTTGATCCCAAATCCTGCCACCCCCACCTGTGTGCGTGTGTGTGCATAATGTGTTTTCTAAATCTAGGTCTTCTCAGAAAATATAAAGTGCTATAGGACATGCTATATCCAATCAGACAAAAATGTTCCTCAGCAAGTAAAACTTTATAAAAATTTCCCCTCAAATTTTATGTTATTTCATTTGGGTATAGGAATATCTTCTCCAGCTGGATGTAATTCAAAGTTCCTAAAATTTGTGTCAAGGACCAACTCCTCCACTCACTCGCTGCTGTACCTTGTAGGGATTGAGAATATGTTGTCCCAAAATATGCCACTTTGGCGTATTGGATATTTTGAATTAAAAGTACTGGAGAAGCTGCTGTCACAAGGACACTCTAACCCTCCTTTGTTCCCCTTGAAGCAGGAGAGAAATCTCCCATGTAAAAGGTGCCCTTGCTGTACCAAAAGGGTACAGGGCATCCTTACCACCAGAGACAGGGAATTTAGGGCCAAGAAGCCTGTGTAAAGAAAACTTGCTACTTTTTTACCATTTGATACTCCTAGACCAAATCCCTTTGTCTTGTCAATTCTTCACAAGACATTTTTTTTTTTTTTTTTATAAAAGCACACTAAAAGCTTCCTTCTCTAGTCACTTCTTTGAGTCTCATATCTTTTTGGGTTCCTACATGTATATACATAATTAAAATTTGTTCCTGTTCATTTCTCTTTTTATTACAAGGGGTCACAGCCAAGAATCTAGAAGGATAGAGAAGTTTTTCCTAACCTACACCTTCTATGCTACCCTCCCCCCTACTTTTTCATTCCTTTTATCCCCACCAAAATTTTGCCCTTGCTTATTGTTTGACAAATTACAATGAAGACAGCTTAATTAATTTTGCTTTGAATGAAGTGGGCACTGGCTAAGTCATGGCAGTGCCAGTTCAGTGGCTTCTGGGTGTCTAATCTCAATGGAGCATCATCTATATTTTCCAGAAATTCCTTACAGATACGTACATAAAACACCTGGTTCGTGCACTGTGATCGAATGTGCTAGGACAAGAATGCAGAAAGCCTTCCATTCCTGTTCCAGATGAGAATTTCTCTCTGGCTTACTCGTGATCCAAAAGTAACAGCAAACAGCAGTTTACCACTCCAAACATTTGGGTTTTAACTCTGAGACACACCATTTCAGGGACTGGTCTGTGCTCATGATACTCTCACGTTCATCTGGCCCACCACCCAGTTTAATGTAAAATTAACTTCCACTGAAAGACTTGAAGTTTCCAAAAGCCCCAAACTGCCATACCTAACTGCATTAACACTTTGACAAGTCTCATATGGACTTTCCACCTGTATCTACTCACATCTCCATTTTACTTGTCCTTAGGTATTAGAAGATCCCACATTGTCCTTAAAGGATTATTGCTCATATATGTTAACATCCTATGCACAGGCACTGAGTCATTATACTAACATTCCCAGAAGCAGTGCAGTGCTTTCCAAAGAACAGGTATTCAATAAAAGTTTGGGGAATAAAGGATCCAGTGAACATGAGTTCTAATTTATTAAGATTTATTTTTTATACATTCTTAAAAGATCTAAGCAAATCCATGCATGTATCACTTAATTTTATGTAACAAGAAATGAAAAGGATAGAAATGCCAAGATCTGAATATCTTTTAGATTTTTTCTCTATTTTTCTATTGACCTCAAATATCTTAAAACAGACTTCGTTCACATTTCTAAGGAAAAGCCTATAGCAATGCCATGTTCTTATTCCAGATGACAAAATAAGATAGATGGCTACACAATATTTTTACAAAACAAAACTTACTATTAAAATACATTATAGCAGATGCGCCTGGGTGGTGCAGTTGGTTGAGATCCAACTCTTGGTTTCCACTCAGGTTGTGATCTCGGGGTTGTGATATCAAGCCCAGCATCAGGCTCTATGCTGAGCACGAAATCTGCTAAGGTTTCTTTCTCCCTCTCCATCTGCCCCTCCCTGCCTCACTTGTTTTCTCTCTCTCTCTCAAAAAAATAAATAAATCATTTAAAAAATAAAATAAAATTCATTATAGTATTAAATATGTGACCAATGTCATTCATAAACTTTGTGAAGCTGAAGCTAATTAAATCTACATTAAAGAAACAATATTTGAACAAATACATATGTTAAAAAAGAATAAATTTTCAAGTTACACAATAATATAGGAACACATAAGCACATACAGTGTGTTCCTTTCAGCCCCAACTCAGACCTAAATTCTATGAACACTAACTGCCCTTTTACAAACACAAAGTGCAAAACCTGCCTCCGGCTTCTCTAGGACAAAGAGAAATGAATGGACTTGGCACGAGAACTTGCAGTGGCCACAGAAGCAGAGACAGACCTGGCTGAAATTCTGGCTCGGGCTCTCTCTTCTTCATCTTGCAAAGCCTCCTCATACTGAGATGGGAAAGAACTCGGGTCAGTCCCGTGAAACTTGGCCAGCATCTCCAGGACTTTCATCTTGGTGGTTTCAGCGTGGGCTCTCGGGCCCCACAGGAATTCAAACTGTGCGGGATCCCTGTTGGCCACCTGCCGGTACTCCAGGTACTTTTCCTTGACGAAATCTTTGGTGATGAGCTTCCTGGGCTCCCCAAAGATGGCGTGCTTCCTCCCAGCATATATCCCCGTCAAATTCAGCGCTTCCCAGACCTCCTCTTCAGTGGCACTGTTGCCCTTCATGAAGATCACACCCAGGATAAAGATCAGGATGCCGGTCTTGGGCATGCCCTCTTCACCATCCAGCACCCCATCATAGGTGAGGCCCAATTTGATGAAGAGGCCATAGCAGTGGTTGATGGGATCCACTCTCTTCACATCAAGGCCAAAGACCATCTCCATGTGCTCAGAGGCTCTCAGGAAGATCTCAGTGAAGTGGTCTTCATACTCTTTGATGACAATCTTCATGTCTGCCTTTGTCACTGGCTCTTTCATGTGATACTTGAACAGCATGAAATTGACCAACGAAATCACCTTCTTATCTAGAGCATCTATGGGCACATTCCTGGGGTCAGGCCCAGCCCATGAGGTGCTATCCTCTTCTTGGCTCCTGGAGCCCTCATTCAATTCACTTGATGAGGTGGTTGTGATGGCAATGGAAGATGAGCAGAAACTCTGATGACTCTCAGGGGTACTGGGTTGACCAGCATCAGGAGCCTCCTCTGAACTGCCAGGCATCACAGGATAAGAGGAGAGATGGGTCTCTTCCAGAGCCTTGGAGACCTGTACAACTTCCATATCTTGGATCTCACTGCAGGTCTGAAAGCACTGATCGTATAAGCACCGTGGATTCTTTTGGTTCTGAAGCATGGTGACTTTTATGAGTGGCAACAGACAGGAGTGAGGACAGGGGAGTGGGCAATGGGGAATCACAGCCTAAGAGGAAGAAGGAGATGTGAATGGCCTCAGCTGCTAAACTCCACTGGGGTGGCTCTGATAAAACTGCCTCCAATGGACTTCTCCCCACAACACTGTTATAGGGCCTCACAGGTCTCCCAACCTCTTGGTTGCTATGTCCCTGAAGAGCAATGAAGGAGGATGTCTGAATGCTCCTGAGGATGCAGCCAGCAAACCCAGGCTGAGAATTCTCAAAGATCGCAGTAAGCACGTGTGGTGGGGCTCTAGACAGCCATTTCTGTTCTGAGGAGGGTGGACCCATCGGTCCTCACTCAGGTTCATTAACTTGGCATTCAGTAGGGCCTGGTGTACCTCCCTTATACTAATATGGGGTGGTCCCCGAAGACCAAAGTCACATCTCCCAAGACAACTGATGGAGGAACCTCCTCCAGAAGGCCTACCTGGGGTTTCCCAGGGCTGACAGCAGGACCTAGACCGTGTGGAGGCTATCTATACTGCTGTTGGTAGTCCCCCCGCCCCCACCCCGGTTCTCACTTAGTTGCCTCACTCTGAATCCAGGCAGGTCCTGGGATCTCTTCATTTGCTGACCTAACATTGTCCCTTCAGAATAAAGCCTCCACCTTCTGATTTCTAGACGGTAATTAGGGCATATGTCTACAGATAGCCTTTCCCATAGCCTCTCAGTGCTGACGACAGTTCAGGGCAGGATTCATTCATCATGATCCCCACTCTCCTGGGGTCAGTGGACCCTCAGTATTCACTCTGGGTTCTTGACTTGGCAACTGGTGGGGTCTCAGGTCTGACCACTCTATGTGATGTCAACTCTTTTGTGTGTAAGAATGCCTCATCTTCGGGCGCCTGGGTGGCTCAGTGAGGAGTGTTTGTATATACAGGGCCTACAGCACATTAGGTGAGCAAAGGATGAGTCCCAAGGTCTGTTAGGACCAAGGTAGGTTCTCTGAAAGAGGTTTGAGGGGCCTGGCCACCCCAGAACAGAGAAGCTCCAGAGTTCTTGCCCCTATTCTCAGCAGTGGTAAGCCTGGCGATGGTGACTGAATGAGATTTCTCTTTCCTTCCTTCTCAGTTGTCTTAGGCAGAATAGTCCTTTTTCTGGTGGGGGTGACATTAGGTTTTAGCAGGTGGGGACTGAGGCATGAGAGGGCATATGTCTACCAGTAGCCAAATAGAGGCCTTGAATGAGGGCTGAGAGAACCACCTATCCCAGAAGATTAGAGCCAAACATAATTCTCCTTAGCCCTGCTGTCACCCCTGGGAGGCCTGGAGCAGAACTGGGACATGCCCGCATTTCTTGCTCAGCAAGCTCAGGGTGATGAAGAATGGTCTGTGGAAGGGTTTCAGATCCTAGGTCCTACTGTTAGTCAAGGGAAGGACCCTAAGTGAGGCTGATGAGGACACCTGCTCCAGAACAGAATAGTCTGAAAAGAGCCCTGTCTTGCTGTGACATTTGGAAACTCTGGATGTGACACCCCTTAATTGCTCCTCAGTGGTCACAGGAATGAGTCTCTAGCCTGAGAGAGCAAGAGCAGTTCAGTAGAGGGGAAGAGGCTCATAAAGTGTCAAGTTCCAAAGTATACACCTTGTTTGAGCAAGGAGGTGACCATCTACTTGAGCACAGTGAGACCCTTTGATACCTGTCCTCCCCCTGTAGTCATTACCTGATAGGTCCCAGACAAAGATGGTCAGGATTCTCAGTGGCTCACTTCATACACTGGGCACCGAGGGGATTGGGACATATTCAGAGTCAGCAATGGACAGGGTGGCCAGGCACTACTGGAGTCCGTGTGGACATACAGAGTAAGAACTGAAAAGGATCCACCCCAAAACATAGGGTCATCAAAGAGACCCTGGACCTTCATCAGTCCAGAGAACTCTGGGCAGAGACTACATGACAAGATCACCATTTTGGTGGTGGTGGTGTGTGTGTGGGTGGGGGGGTGGTTCACACAGGTGAGATCCTTGGTGTATGTACCTACATTATATGAGGTCATCAAGGAAAGAGATCCAGAGCCTCTCATGGGTCACAGTAGGACATTAAGTGAGATCCAGGGGGTCTACCCACCCCAGAAAAGAGTTTTTCTTTACAGTTTCTACCTCCTTCTGTTAGCCCAGGAAGCCCTTATAGAGGGGGATAGGCAGTGTCCTTCTTCACTTCCTTCTAAGGTAACTCGTGAAGATGAGGCATTCTTTTTTTTTTTTTTTTT